AGCAGTTTCACGCCAGCGCCATAACCCCCACGACCCCCCCTGCTCTGCTCCGGCCAGGCCAGAGCGAACTGCTTGCAGGGCGCCCCCCGCCCCACCTCACCTACTTTCCGCCCTCTTCTGCGCGCCCCGCCCCGCCCCGCCCGGCGTGACGCGGGGGCGTGCGGCCCGGAAGTAGCCACGCCCCTTTTACAAAGTCTAACGAACGAATTGTTGTTTTGCCCTCCACCGTTAATTGTCGCGCGTCAGAAACTCCGCCGCCGCCGTCGTGCCCTATCCCTATCCTCTGCACGCGCGCGCCCGCGCCTCGTGCCAACCCATGGCGCTACCGAAACAGGAAAACAGAGATATGCTTTCATCAATTTTTCACTACGGACGGAAACAGTCTGCAGCGGGGCACGACTCGAGTAAACAACGCGACCCAAAAATACTTCGACGCAGTGTATGTGTACAGTATATGTTTATAACGGTGCTGTGGGTCGAAAATGTCACCCAGCCTATAAAGTCGTCGCGTGCGTTGTGCTGCTCGCTAAACCTTTTCCTTGCACCCCCACCCAGTAAGCCCGCCTCCCCACTTTTCGGTCGGGCGTCACCTTTGCGTCGCCGCGCGACGTCACTTCGTCCCGCCGCGCTTTCGCCAATTTGTTTTGGGCGAGGCGCCGCGCGGCACGCGTCGTTAATTTTCTTCAACTGCCGCGCCCCCGCCACCGCCGTGGCGCAGTTTTCATTATTTTAATGCTTTTGTGTCGGTCCCAAATGAAACGGCGACATTTAAGCCCGTCGTCGTGCCTCGCCCTGCTCTGCAACCAACCCCCTACCCCCCGCGACCCCGCGTGCAACCCCCACCCACCCTTTTGGTTGCCTTCACCTACACAAAAGCACCCACCCTCCGCGCGCCTCTTACGAAACGATACGACTACGCGATAAAAAACGTTTCGGCCCTAAAAAGAAAGCAGCGTTGGGATAATTGATGAGACAACCTCCCTTAAGGACCATAACCTAGACACTTCATGACATGCTCAAGGACGTGCTAGAGGACATTCCTGGGACACCTATACTAACAGTTTGTGCAAAATTCCTGCCAAACCCTGTACCTGTGTCAGGCTCATACGACACAACTGTATGCTGGGTTGCCTACACTGTTAAAAAAATCGATTGTAATTTTCCAAATTTTGTTGGCAACTTTTTACGCAATTCAATGTTTGTAAAATTACAAATTATAACACTTGTAAAAAAATTTGCAAACGTGTTTTGAAATTTCACAATCTGCGATCTGAAAATTAAAAAGGTTAATGTGAATTTACAAAACATCAAGGCTTATAAGATTAAAGTAATTTGCCATGAACATGGAGTAGGTGAACCACAGACGGCCTAAGGATCAGCTTGTTGGACTGAAGAAGTGTCAGTTACCTTTAAGGGTAAAGTCACAGCAAATATACGGGAGCGCGTTACAGACACCCCTACTGCACGGATGCGAACGGCGCCGTACCCAACTAAGGAGAGGTAGCGGGGACCGGCGCGCGCTGGAATTAGACCAATTATTTGGGGCACTTGGTTGACTTTTTGCTCA